AGACTATACATAGAATAAAAAATGAGCAATGGAAAACAAAGACTAGTTAGCATTCGGTCAATAGTGACCTCTGCAGGTGAGGAGAGGAATCTCAACATAACCCCAAGGGTGGCTTCTGATGCCCCTTGACCGCCAATCTGTCTGCATTTTCTGTCTCTTGATTGGTCATTGCAATCACAAATGGGCCTCCTCTCAGGTCTGTTCACTTCTCCTGAGCCATTTGTCCACTGCTGGAACATCAACTGGCTCTCTTGACCATGGAAACAATGGGGGCGGATACCCCAAAACATTGAAAAAGGCATGCATCCCTGCATAAGTTCTGTGCATATTTCCATAGCAGTAGGCAGTTTCTTTAGAAGGATTTAAGGACATGCTTTAGAAAATCCATCCATTACCAAAAGCATAGTTGTATTACCTTAAGGTAGGGGCTAGTCAGTTCTGAAATCCAGGCAGATCTTCGATTGTGCACTCATAATACATTCATTAACAAATCTTGGGACATCTCTGTTCAGTGAGGGACACCAAAATGTATTTCTTACTAGGCCTAAAGTCTGCTGAATGCTTGGTGTCCATAGCTGATGATGTATGAATTCCCTGTATAAGGTGGTCTTTGACATTTTGGGCCATAATACCCTTGTCTCCAGGACAATTAGATGGGGCTGGTTTGGATTCTGGATCTCCTCCATCATGTCCCACTTCACAGGGGTGATGATACATGAGGCAGGTAAAATGGGTTCAGCAGGTATAGAAACAGGGTCAGCTTCATATTGTCATGAAAGGGCATCAGCTTTAACATTCCTGTAGCCTGGTCAGTAGGTTGCTGTTAAATCAAACCAGGTAAAAAAACATGTCAATCATGCTTGCCTCATGTTCCAATGTCTCCACTGTTCAAACAGCAGCCTTCATTGCCAGTAGTTCTCAATTACCAATAATTGTTAGTTTCGTCCTGTGTCAATGAATGTTCTAGAAAAGAAGGCACAAGAATACCATAAAGGACTTCCCACATGTGATAATACTTCCTTTATTTGGCTCTCGGAAGCACCACCTCCACAACGAATGGTTTAGATGAGTCTGGGTGCTTGATAATGGAACCAGTGGTAAACAAGTCTTTAGGTCACCAAAGCAGACGGAGCAGTCTCATTCCACTACAAGATTCTTTTCTTTCCTCTAACTAATGAAGTGATGGGGGCTGCGACTGAACTGAATCCATGAAAAAAAACATATCTAAATGTTAGCACACACCAGAAAACATTGGAGCTCCTTCACGGTTCAGGGTCAGACTAGTATGGATTTGACTTTGCTGTCATCCATTCCTACCCCATTTAAGTCAAGAATGTATCCCAGAACTTTCCTTGTGGAATTCATGCTTTCACATAAATAGTATTGTCTAAAAGGTGCCTATAGACCTCACTAGCATGTTGTACACTCTCCAGAGAGGATGAGTAGATTAAAATGTCATCAATATAGGGTACAACTCAGTGGTCAATCATGTCACTGAGAACTTTATTCATGAAGGCCTACAAAACAAAGGGGGCCATTGAGAGATCACATGGCATGACCAAGTACTCATTGTGCCCTCAAGTTGTGATGAACACCATCTGTCATTCATCCTCTTCTCTAATTTGAATCAAATGATCAGTGCTTTGGAGATTCAATTTGGTCAAATTTGTTGCCCCTCGTATTTTCTCAATGGCCACTGGATCCAGTCAAAAAGCAGATAAATTAAGGAGGTATCCCTTTCAAGAATCAGTGTGCTGACGACGTCTGACTAGGATTTGTTTGCTGCTGTGTAAGGTAGGCTCTAGGTCGAACTTACCTTGGCTTAGACTTTGTTAGTCTAAGTCAACAAGTTAACAAGGCTGTCTTGTTGAATCTAGTGTTAAATTCTAATTACTAGTTTCAAGTGTGGTTTCAGATTAGCCTACAATGTGAGGCAGAGGCTGATCTACCAGTCACAAGGCTGATAAATTCAGGAGGTATCTACAACAGATGTACATATACGTCTAGGTGGACATTGATCTACATTTTAACCTTAGCATACCTCCATTCACTGAACCTCCTGGATTTGACAGAGACTTGAATTACCCCCGAGAACTCAGCAACTCCAGCCCTATCCTCTGCCTTTAACTCCTCTCATTCTTGGAGATAGACTGGCAGGGAAAGGTGGCATAGGTTTGCTTCTGTCTATACATTGGCATGTCACTCCATTCTCATTCTCTCATCAATTTCCTCTTTTAAATATCATGATGTTACTGTATTTTTCCACACTAAATGTCATATAATGGCATATAATATAACTAGTGTCCTACAAGACTCACTGCTGGGTCATCTTCATTTTTCAATCTACACTCATTCTTTTGGTGATGTAATCCTGTAATGACTTTTGTTAATACTGCTATGCTGATGAACTGATTCTTTCCTTCCCACCTTCTGATACTCAGGTTTTCAGTCCCATCCTGGCATGTCTGACTTACATTTTCTTCATGAATGAAGCTCAGATGAAGCTGCTATTCATCCCTGGAATTACAGGACCTCACCATGATCTTGCCAGAACAACTTGCTTGTTCCCTCTGAAGATGCAAGAAACCTTGATGTGATTCTGGATGACCAGTTATTGTTCTCAACTCAAATTGTGAACCTGACTCAGTCATACAGTTTCTTCTCTACAATTACTGTTATGAAATGGGGGGGTATCACTGTGTGGCGAGAGCAGACACCGAGTTTGAACCGGCAACCGACTACGTGAGAAGTGGCAAGAATGGCAGACCCTCAAGCTTGAGGGTGATTTTGTTTCCCCTTTCAAAGAGGTGCCTTTGTTTGATCACGCCGGTCTTTGGCATCTCCTTTGTCTGCCATTCTTGCCACTTCTCACGTAGTCAGTCGCCGGTTCAAACTCGGTGTCCGCTCTCGCCACACAGTGATACCACGGCATATTTCTTTCACTTTAACACTTCATGCTAATATGTATTTCACATACTACAAAGATAGTAATAAATAAACTAGTGACTAAACGCTCTGCACTTGGTCCCACCACCACCCCCATTCAGTAACAGTAACAGTAATTGTAGAGAAGAAACCTGTATGACTGAGTCAGGTTCACAATTTGAGTTGAGAACAATAACTGGTCATCCAGAATCACATCAATATATATTTTTATATATCTGCCAGGCCTGGCGGCAATGTCGAACATAGTGTATTGTCGAACATAGTTTAGTGCATTTTTCAAGTGCCTCTCTCAACACCTCATTTATGAAGCGTTGAAAGACTGCCGGTGCATTCATAAGTGCAAAGGGCATTACCTGGTACTTGTAATGCCTAGAGGGGGTGATGAATGCCATCTTCCACTTCCTCCTGCCTTATGCAGTTTAGATTGTAGGCATTGCGCAAGTCCAGCTTGGTGAATAAGCAAGCTTGCTGCAGTACCTCAAAGGCAGTTGGCATAAGAGGCAGGGGGTAGCGGTTTTATACTGCGATGGCATTGAGGCCCCAGTAATCATTACAGGGCAGAGGCCCCCATCATTTTTTTTTTTTTTTTACAAAGAAGAAACCTGCCGTCATGAGAGACGAATACGGCCGTGTGAGGCTCGATTCAAGGGTCTCCCGAACTTAAGCATCCATAGCAGCGTGCTCGGGAGGAGGGAGTGTGAAAACCCTTCCTTGGTTGAGATGGCGGGCCCAAGCACAGAGCTCTTGGCTGTTTAATCACTAGTTTATTTATTATTTGTCGTAATGTCTTTGTAGTATGTGAAATACTTATTTTGCTTAAGTGTTAAAGTGAAATAAATATGGTTATGTGTCAATGTGTGGCGAGAGCAGACGCCAGGTTCTCACCGGTGACCTACTGAGTGAGAGAGCAGAGCTCTACCACTGCGCCACAAGAGCTGTGGGAAAAAGCTTGAAAAGAAGTGGTGGGAAAAAAATGGCAGGAACAGCAGAGAAAGAAGCCACCAAAGACCAGCATGCTCAAACAAAGGAACCTCTTTAAAAGAGGAAAACTAAAAAACACAAAACAATCCTTCAGCTTAGAACGTGAATAATGCACAGCTCGTTCTCATAAGACTCTGATATAGAACCTTGGGTGTAAACTTTTCACAGCTCTGCTCACCAACCTCCCTTGATATTATCTTTTCCCTTTTAGACACTTGTTGTTTTCTTTTCTTTTCTTTTGCTAGCTTCAGTGCTTTTTCGTTTCATTCTTTTCTTTCTTCCTTTCTTTCTTTCTTTCTTTCTTTCTTTCTTTCTTTATACCCAACTGGGTGAAAGTACTGTACCGGATACCCCTCTACAAAGGTGTAACGCTGAGCTGCAGCAGCACATGTAGTTTCCAGCGCTAGGTTGTGAAAATGACCCCATTTGGGTCAATTCCTACCTAACAAAAGGTCCTATTCATTGTTGTTTACTTTAGGAGGCATAATAGTTATGTATGCATGGAAATCACTTAAACCACATTTTAGAGCCAGGTTCTCAAATCACCTTTTTTCCCTTCAAATTTAATTAAATGATGGCATTATAATTTGGTAAATATTTAAATTATTTGTTATTTAAATATATAAATGTAATTCCATTTATGCAGTTCTGTGCTCCTCAGGACGGTCAGTCAAGTAAACATTGTAATATTTTTAAATGCAATAACAACTACTCCATAAATTTAGTTTTGAAAGGAATTGTATTCAAATCACTTAAGAAAACAAAAACAAAAACAACACCTTGGTGAAAATGCAAGTATCCCAAATATGTTCCCAATCACAAAATTGACACTTTAGATATTAACATGTTTAAACAATCTGATTTGAGAAAAGTTAAACACTTTGTGTTTCTAGCAACTGAACAAAAAATCCACTGTTAAAATGTCCTAAATAGAAAAAAGAACATTTCTATGAAAGCATTTCTGCCTCATAACAAAAATATTGCAAGCATTAACAGACAGTATAAAACAAAATAAATCATGATTTATTATGCAAAACATACAAAACAAGAAAAATATTGTCATTTTTTTTTAACAAAGCAGATATTCAGAATAATTTGTAGGAATACATTTCTCCAGAATGTGCAGTAACCATGTGTGAATCAAGTATGATTTCATTATTATCTTATTACATTTTAGCTTGATTTAAAATCATTTACTCCTTTACCCTCATTTCCTGCTTTTGTTCTAATCAGTTCATTCTCCTCACTCTAACCCTGCCGCTCTCAGCACTGTTCTAGCTGTATCTGCGAGATCTTTCAATCCTCTTTGCAGGAGAGTGAATGTAAGACTAAAAGATATCAGTCCTGCTGCAGCATTTCCTACACCAGGCACCAACTTACACAGATTTTTCACAAGTGCGCTTCCAGCTAATGCAGACAGCTGCAGTCTCACTTCTGATCTTTCTGTCAGTCCCAGTACAAGTGGTGATGTAATCAAAGATTTCAGGTGTGGTTTATTCACTCGCTCTGAGAGTTTGTCAAGTGATTTTTCATCAAGGCCAAAGGAGAAGTAGCACCTTGTGAAGAAAGCTACTAAAATACCAGCATCACATGCCAGTGACAGACCAGGAACTGGAGCTGCAGCGATCCCACCAGAGAGAAGAGCTGCAGCCCAGACTGCTTTCTGAAACATTCTCACTTTTTGTTCTAGTACAGCCAGAGAGCTGACTGGCAGAGACTGCAGCAGAGCTTGGTGTTTAAGTTCTGGAAGATCTGACATCAGAGTGTCTACAAGCTTCCCAAAATCAAATTCATCAATATTCCTGGAGGATATGAGGAACACTTTGGCTTGTTTAATCTTAATTAAGTTCTTCTCACAGTTTCTTCTGATTTTTGAGAGAGTTTCTTCTTCATTGAACTGTGCTCTTTGTTCTGCATCTCGAATGTCGTTGTCTATCTTTGATCTAACAAAATAAAACAGCTTTTTCCTTTTTTGAATCTTTTTGGCCAGCTTTATGTCATTTTCTTTGAACCTTTCTGATGAGATAATAATGAAGAAATCATACTTGTCAAACTGAACTTGTTTAAGATAGGTCTTTGCCTTAAAGTTCGGGGTTCCAATTCCCGGGAGGTCCCAGAATACCACATTTGGCATTGTGGGATGTTTGTAAGGGGTTGGTTTATCAGTGGTTTCAGTAACTCCAGTTTCAGCTGCTCCTTCATCATCATCATCCAGATTTCTAATTGCGTTGATAAAAGTGGACTTTCCTGTCCCTGTTTCTCCAGTTACAGCAACGCTAAGTGAGATATTAAACAATTCTTCAATTTGCTGTTGAGCCTTCACAGTTGCTCTTTCTAAAGTGGATTCTCCAGATGGCTGTAGTGCTGCATTTATTTCAGGATTTTGACAGGCCATGGTCAAGATGTGGACAAGCTTGGATAACTTTCGGTTTTAAAAAGATGTTTGAGACAAAATCAGTGTAGATGGGCTCCAGCTGGTGCCTTAAGCTTTAACTGCAGTTTTCCCTCACTTTGTGCTTCCTTTGGAAATGGGTCCTGTAAAAACAAAAAACAAAACAAATAGAAAGAGTAGGCAGATATTTTCAGAAAGCACTAGCAACCCTCAGCTAATGAAGGCTTAGCCATTTTGCTGGATGATGATTAACTATGTTGTGTATTTTAAGTCAGACAATCATTGGCTTTGGTTACATTTTGTTTGTACCATGTTTTTCTCCATTAAAGCAACAGTAATAGTTATTTATAAGTAATTATCTAATAACAGTACAATATTTTCTCTTCTTTCTGTGCTGTAAGGGTTTCTGATCAGTTCAATGTCCACCCCCCCCAGCACTCCCTTTTAAAAAGGTCACTGCCTAGTGTGAGCTGAATCCACTGGGAGGTCACATGATCACGAACTCTCAGCAATCCACCTATCAACATTCTAGCTCGCCTGAGTATTAATTTCTGACACCTGTTTTGAGGACTATCTATGTTTGTTTACATGAGTATCTTTGAGAAGTATTGTTGCAGTTCCTGTGCATTACTGAGCCTTGTTTCAGTGTATTGCCTTTCTGGTTTGTGTTTCTGCTTGTCTTTTTGTTCACGACTTTAGCCTTATCCATTTGGACGCTCTCGTGTGTACCGACCCTCGCCTGATTTGTACTTTGATTTTGGATTCGCCCTTTATTGAACACTTTTTACTTTAGTCTGCTCTGTGCGCGTCTGACTATTCCCCAGCCATCACATAATACTTCACCACCATGCAGACGGCAGAGTTGGAGGCTATGCAAAAGGCGCTTACTAAACAGGGCCAGCTTCTTGGTCAGCATCAGCAGCTATTCGTTGGGTTTAATCAGTCTGTTGACGACTTAAAACGTAGACAAAATGAACAACAAGCCCAGTTGTCACAACTCTTGACGGGCGTGAAAGACTTATCTATACAGCTGCAGTCACTTCGTAATATTCAGCCTGCTACACAATCCACACAACCTACTGCTGCCTTTCACTGGGATGTTAATTCTACAACCCATTTTTCCGTAAGTAATCCAGACAAGTTTGATGGCTCGCCAGATAAGTGTAGTGGGTTTTTACTGCAGTGCTCGGTTTTCTTTTAGTAATTCTCAGCCGAGCTCCAATAAGGCTAAAATAGCATTTGTTGTTTCTAGGCTCACTGATAAAGCTCTTGATTGGGCCACGGCGGTTTGGCAAGACACAGAGGATCTCACATACCAACAGTTTGTAACTGAATTCTGAACTGTTTTTGACCATCCACGTGAGGGGAGAGCATGTGGGGAGTCTCTAGCCAAGATCCGTCAGGGAAATCGGTCAACGGCCGCTTATGCATTCGAATTTCGGACTCTTGCAGCTGGCAGTTGTTGGAATTAGCCAGTTCTCATAGTGGCATTTCGAAAGATCATTCTTCGGAACCCATGCAATGCGATTTCTCCAGACTGTCTCCTGAGGAAAGACTTTGAAGAAGGGGAGTAAGGGGAGTTTATGCATGTACTGTGGCGCTGCTGGTCACTTTATACGTGACTGTCGGGCTCCCCTGCACAAACTTAAGGCGCTGACCCTGGGAAAGTAGTGTGGTGAGTGCTCCCACAGAGGGGTTGGTTAAGAAGTCTTTCATGATGCCTATAACCATGTACTGCCAAGGTTCTGTTCTTTCCGCGCTAATCGATTCTGGAGCAGAGGGCAACTTTATCCATGTGGAGCTGGTCCAGGAGATGCAGATTCCACTAGAACTCCTGGAAAAGCCACTCAAGATCACCACACTGGATGGGGAGCCCATTGGACTTGGGACTGTTTCTCACATTACACTACCTATCAGAGTACATGTTAGCTCTATACATTCTGAACATATACAATTTTTTGTCCTAGATCTCTCAGAGTTGTCTGTGATTCTCAGGCTCCCTTGGTTAGAAAAACACAATCCACAAATATCCTGGTCAGAGAAGAGCATTACGGCTTGGTCAGATTACTGTCATTCACATTGTTTACAATTCCCTACTACTAGCATTTGTTCTAAATCCGTTGAAAGCCCCAACAGTGATATCCAGGTGCAAATTCCCACAGAATATTCTGACTTAGCTGAGGTATTTAGCACAAACAAGGCCACTCAGTTACCGCCACATTGTAGTTGTGATTGTGCTATTGTTCTTATAGAGGGAGCTAATCTCCCCAAAGCATGTATCTGTCCACTCACACAAGAAGAGGAGAACCTGGTACTTCAACATCTCCTCCAAAATCACTTGTATGTAAAGGGAGAAAAATGCAAATTTCTCTCATTCTTAGACTATATTATCAGTGTGTCTGGATGATCATAAGGTGGAAGCAGTAGTGAATTGGCCAACACCCACATCGATTAAGGACCTGCAGAAATTTTTGGGGTTCGGTTTTATCGTAGATTCATTTGCAATTTTAGTTCAATTGCTGCTCCTCTCACTGCTCTCCTAAAAGGTGCAGCTAAGAAGCTAATATGGAACACTAATGCCAAAGACGCAGTCCAGAAACTCAAAATAGCATTCACCACAGCCCCCATACCCAAGCATCCGGATCCATCTCTTCCGTTTGTGGTAGAGGTGGATGCATCTGAAACTGGTGTAGACGCTATACTATCACAGCGCAGTGGAAATCTGTCCAAATTATTTCCTATTGCCTTTTATTCACCCAAGCTCACACCCAGTGAACAGAATTATGGCATTGGTAACAGGGAACTTTTGGCAGTTAGGTTGGCTGTAGAAGAATGGAGATACTGTTTGGAAGGTCCTAATCATCCTTTTCTAGTGTTTACAGATCATAAGAATTTGGAATATGTACATAGTGCTAAACGCTTAAACCTTAGACAGGCACGATAGTCGCTGTTTTTCTCTCGTTTCTGTTTTAGCATCTCTTACCGACCTGGTTACCACAACACCAAGGCAGATGCTCTTTCCAGACTTCACCTGAGTGATTTGCAGGCAGAGAGGGAGGAATCCGAGCCCGAACCCATACTTCCTCCGTCAGTTCAAATTGCTACAATACGCTGGGAGGTCGATGAAGAAATTGAAAAAGTGCTAGAAAACATTCAGGTACCACAACACTGTCCAGCTAACAAGATTTATGTCCCTGTACAGTTCCGTGGTAAACTTATTACATGGGTTCATTCCTCTCTGTTGTCAGGTCACCCTGGTGAGACACATACCCAATGACTACTAAATACCCATTACTGGCGGGAGACTTTTCACCAGGACCAGACGTCCTAGGTCACACATCGCAATTGACTTTGTAACTGATTTACCACCTTCCGATGGTTTCACTACCATACTCACAATAATAGATCACTTATCTAGAGGGGCTAAATTTATTCCTTTTGAACCTCTCCCTACCGCTTTTCAGACGTCGGAAGCTATATACACACACATCTTTAGAAATTTTGGTATTCCTGAGGACATTTTGACAGGGGTTCACAGTTTACTTCATGTGTCCGGTCTGGCTTCTTTGAACACATAGGTGTAAACATCAGTCTGACATCTGGCTATCAATGGATAAATCAAGAATTGGGGAAATTTCTCAGACTGTATTGTCAAAACAATCCATCAGATTGGTCCAAGTACCTCATTTGGGCAGAAATGGCACAGCTGGATTAACACCTTTTCAGTGTATTTTAGGATATCAACCGCCACTTGCAACCTGGACTGCTCAATGTTCAGACATACCTGCAGTCAAAGAATGGATGCGATGGGGTGAGGAGGTATGGGAGCAGACACATTGTCACATTGAAACAGCCCTGCAAAGATATAAGGAACAAGCTGATCGACGTCATGGCGAGACCCCCTTCTATCAGCCTGGAGACCGGGTTTGGTTGTCGACCAGGGCCTTCAGGTTTGGGGAGGAAACTGCAGTCCAAATATATTGGTCCGTTTAAAATCATTCAGAGAATCAGTGATGTTACGTATAAACTTGAATTGCCCCCTCAGTTCCGCGCACCTAACTCTTTTCATGTCTCCTTACTCAAGCCTGTTGTCCCGGGTCCTCTGGACGAGGCTTTGCTGACGGATCCCGCCTGCACCTCGGTCCTGAGGAGAGATGCTGGGTGCCGGCTTCAGACATTCTAGACCCGGGGCTGGTGGCTGATTTCCACAGTCGGTATCCTGATAAGCCTGCTCCTCGCCGTAGAGCTAGTCCAAGGACCAGAATGCTCAGTTCCTGCCCCTTTCTGTGCCTCTGGTTGCGTTGGTTGAGGTTGTCGCGGGCGGCATTGTTCATCGGCTGGCCTGGACTCCTTGGGGGGTACTGTCGCGCCTTCTGTAGCGAAGACTGACACCCCTCACTCCGTCCAGCACTCCAACTCCCAGAATCCACTGGGAGGTCACATGATCACAAACTCTCAGCAATCTACCTATCAACATTCTAGCTCACCTGAGTATTAATTTCTGAGACTTTAGTTTTAAGGACTATATATTTTGGATTCTCCCTTTATTGAACACTTTTTACTTTAGTCTGCTCTGCACAGCTGTCACACAGGTATTAACATGTATTTGAACTTGTATGCATCATTTTTACAGTTTTTCAGTAAAAAGAGCTAATATAGAGCTGCCACCACCGACGTTTTCCTAAAATTCCTCACATTTGATTGATACTTGGTTAGACTGTGGCTCAAATTTACAGTCAGAACTTCTAGATCTATCTAGACCTTCCAGAAGGAAGGACCATCTACCTAGATATCACAGAGAAATCAATGCTGATTGAACAGTTTTCTGTTGGGGGTTTAAATTGTTTTTCTTTTGTTTCTAACCAAAACTTTTCAATGAAGTAAGAACATTACTACGAGACTCGTACAGTTTAAATACAACGTACACAATGCTTCTATTCAGTAAAAGTAAACAAAATTGACAGACTCACGCTTTTTTATTTCACAGAAATCACTAGACCTTCTCTGAAGGATCCCCTCTGGTGCTTACCTGATGAAAGTATTGGGTAAAAGGTGACAGTCTCCTTCTGATATATAGATATCCCTGCACTCTGCCCAGAGGTGAACCCACCTACTTCCTGATAGAGGGATATAAATATTAACTTACATAGGTTAGAGGGAGAAGGGCGAGATAGTGATTAGTAAAATGATACCACAAGTGACTGATTAAAGTTAGCTGCTAAAATACATGAATAGTATTCTGTAAATATTTCCTATTATATAACAACTTATCCTAAAATTTCACCTTGATGATGGCACTCCTGGAGAATTTATTCATCCAGAAAACGCTGGAGCCAATCGTATTTCACAAGTCACAGGTTTTCCGTCAGGCTGAATTCAAATCAATCCGTTTTTGTTCTTCTTCTTTTTTTACCCAGATGTTCAGTAGTATGTTATAAAAAAGCCTGAGTGATAGTAAAAATCTAAAAACAAGGTAATGTTGTTCTAATCAGTTTAGGAATGTTTTATTAGTTGGAACATCAGAACAGAGACATTTGTCCATTTTAATTTTACCTTCTCAGTCCTGTTCATTTGTACAAGAAAGCTTGTTAAAATATATGATTATGGGAAGTTGTGGAGAGAACTGTTCATTTGTTTTGTGGGAAAAAAAGGATTTTGTTTCAATGTAAATTGAGACCTTTTCTGTTAGAATTCCTCACATACAAAAGACAAAAGGTCCCAGTTGTCACAATACCCCAGAAATATCATTTATTTGAGTTTTCTTCATTAAGGCACAGAGTTATTCACTGGAGTTCGACTAGCATTCGTGTTACATGCTAGCTACAGCCATCATTATCTTTGGCTGTAGAAAAAAAAAGGTATTTGAAATGATAGACATGTTCATGTGTAATAATGTATATTCATATCATTATGATGTTTTGTACCTGTAAGAATTCTCACCACTTTTATAAACGCCACTAGGTTGTGGTTGTTGCAGCAGAATTTTTCTGTGAACAAAAAGCCAGCGGTCAAGAGCACAACTTCACCATTCAGTTACACTCAAATGTCTGAGGTTGAGGGATAAATAAGAAAACAGGGGTAACCTCGGTCAGATTCAAGAGTATAATCTACAGATTAACATAGATTAACATAACAATTACAACTGAAATTCTACATGAAATAAGATAAATGCTTCTGAATTCATACTGAGAAAATAAAAAAGCACAGAGAAATACAAATTAATGAATGGTATCTTTTGACACATCAATTATACCTCAGCTAGGCCTTCCTCAGCTCCACTGACCATATAGTCTCACTCTGTAGTTCTACAGTTACAGACTGTAGTCCATCTGTTTCTCTGATACTTTGTTACCCTGTTCTTCAATACATGAAAGCATGAAAAGGATAATTCTTTCATATACACAAGCACATATACACATTGTCTCATATGCTCTCCTCTATGATACTCACTGTATATTTATCCTGCCCTTGTTTAGCTAAATCTGACATGTTCGGGTGCCCCTAACAAGATTCAGTCAGAACAAACAGGCAGCATTTTATGCTATTAAAATGCTATTTGTGACTCTAACTTAGGCTATACAGGCCCACAACTACACCTGCACATATCTAGCATTTCAAATATCATAGCATATTGATGTTTATCATAGTGTATGCAAATCCTGTTGCCTGCAAACCAGATCAAACCAGCCATCAGCTGCACAGCACTTGGCACACCAGTGTCAACAACATTTCAAACTCATCAAAACATTTTTTCTTTCAGGGGTACAGTCATGCTGCGACAGGAAAAGGCAACAAGTGTTTGTCTTGTTGATTTCATCATCCACCTGTTAGTAATGGGTGTGACTGAAACACCTGAAATCAATCACTGGGGGGAGGTCCACTTACTTTTGGTCATATAGTGTGTTTCATTTTGAAAGTTCTAGTAAATAATTTTGCTCTTTTAACACAGCGGCACCAGTTAGTTAACTTGCTGCAGACCTCGTTTCCTTGCAGGCACCGCTCTGTTACTATTCTTACCTGATTCACTTTCACTTCGTTATAAAACAAACACTGTTCAGTTATTTTAGCTTGTTGTTGGTAACACATCTTTGGTAAATAAAGTTTAGACAGTGGAATTCCATGACTTTTCGTGACTTTTCCATGACGTAAAATGAAATGCTAAACATGCAGAACATTTATCATAGTGCTGTGTGATGTCTATGCAACTATACTTTAATTCCATATGATAATGTGTTCCAGTTTCCATAAAATTTGAGAAATATGTGACAGATACATTACATATGGTCGCTGTCCAAAGAAAAACAAGTATCTCCAAAATGGTACCTTTACAGGAAAGGGCAGAAATGTCCTTTACTTTTAATGTGAGTCAATGTAAAGATATTTTATTCTAAGTCATTTTAGAGCACTGCTATTGGTCCATTCATCATGAAATTTCCAAGCAGCATATTAGACAGTCACCTTATTGAAACAGTGCAGAAAACTAACAATCAACAAAAATGGAGATACATGTTTTTCTTTGGACAGTGACGATACATAACAAAAGTCAGAGTTGCTAAATGGTTTATTTTTAGTTTTTCATTTATTTCATTTCACTCATGGTATCCAAGCCCTGACAGTTAACTGTAATGCAAGTCGTTTATTTAAAATCCATAAAAATAAATACAAGTAAATAATGGTAAAAAGGACTATTAGTTGTTGACTATAAAAAAGATGAAAGTCAGTTTTTACTATTAAAAATTTTGTTTTGACAATTTAACCATTTTATGTATTCCTTTGCAGAGTGACTTCAGAATGAAGAAGTACAAAAGATAAACTTACCTTGAAAATAAGATGTATGCCCTTCAGGTGTGAGTACCTATTTGAAACCTGTTTCTCATGTTGGAGTAACATATACTTTTCATATTGCTGATATGGGTGTGGCTACACAGGCTGAAATTAAGGCCTTTGCTCAGCAACAGATAATGGAAACTTCCATGTTTGTTCTCTCTCTCTCTTTTTCTCTTTGTCCCACACCTGCACCAGCAGGGCCTCCACCCACCACATCTTTTTCCCCGTACCTGAAATGACCTTAATCTAGTAAAAAAACCTTGGTCTGGATTCACTGTAGTATTTTGAACCTTTTTTTTTTTTTAAATTTTGCTTTGACTATTTAACCATTTTATGCCGTCTTTTTCAGTGTGACAAAATGAAAAGGTACAATAGATTAATTTATTTTAAATGAAAGGTGTCAATCTTCAGGTGTCAGTAGGGTATTGGAACCTGTTTTGTATGTTTTGTATGTCACAAAAAGTGACAAAACTGGTTTTGATTCTGATCTTATTTTCCTTGGAATGACACAAAACCTCCCCCAAGTCTTTCTGCTTTTCAGTCTAGTTTTTAACTATACTGCATTTGCTTAGTAAATAAACTCACTGAACTGAATAATACTGCAGTTTTAGTTTCAGTGTAGCAACATTTTTTATTTTCCTTATAAAATCACTACATGTTCTCCAGGAGTTGAACCTTGATTTCTGAACCTTTTTGCTGCTCAAAAGTGTACAAATTTGTCATCTTTATGTTTCAAATATTGCTCCACATAGATTTGGCCAGTGTGTTAAATGTGAGATCAGTGACCGTTTGTTTGAGGCTTGATATCAGCTGCTCCACTTTCTCCGTAGTTCTACATCATGCATTATTTAAATACCTAATTTTTCAAAGGATGTACGCATTGCACATATGAAGCATGGATAATGAGGCCACTTACAATCACTTTTTTGTTCCCTCTGGTCAACCTCGGAACCCCTAGGAGAAACCACTGGTGCAGGCAATACATCAAAGACAGCCAGAGCCAGTGCCATTTAGGGCTGTATGAATAATGCTATTTGGTTGAAAGAAAGAGAAGAAAGAATAAATGTGTCAAGAAAATAAATGAAACAACATAAGAGGGGACAGCCAGGAGGGGTGATCACAATAGATGGATGAAAGACTTATGAAAGAAACACATGGCTTGCATACACATTTTTGGCATGAGTATAGGGATTTAGAAGGAAATGAATGCTGGCAATCAGAAGAACTAATTCATAAGAACTTGTGGCTGCTGAGATCCTGGTGCATGCTTTCATTACGTCTAGGCTAGACTACTGCAATTCTCTACACAGAATATAGATTTGTTTATGTACGATTATATGGAACATATAACATAGACTATTATACAGAACATAGATTTGTTTTTCTCAATTAAGCACCACACAATCCAGCTGCACTCATTTCTAAACAATATCAACCATAGAAAAGGTTGATCTGGTCAGTTAAGTTGATGATTGTTGGACTGAAAATACATGTTATCCAGGCTTTTGATATCAGGCTTGTAAATGAAAGAGATTACTGGCTTTCATGCTACCAAACACTGAAACTACTCTGTGATGCCTGCAGCTATACACATGGTATTATGAATGTGGTTGGGAATTTCCTGATACATTCATCACTATGAGATTTGATTTCCGCCAAGGGAAAATGCATTGTTGAGTCAGACAGTCTCTGACTGTTCCTGTGAGGATCACCTTACACTGTTTAAAACAATATGATAAAAAGGCAAAATTAAGAGATAAATTCTTGTTGAAGTAACTTACATCATCAAGATTCCTCTGTAATGGCTGAATGATTATTGTTGCAGGACCTATTTGAGACTGTGGATCTTTGAAATATCTGACATTAAATCCTTCAGTGTATGACATTCAGCCATCGTCTCTTAGTTGTACGAGAAAATCTCATATCCACCACCCTGTTCCAGTTTGGGATATGCCTCTAGAATTAACCTTTGGAACTCATCTGTACTTTTGTGGCTGCCTTGTAAGAGGAAAAATAACGCTGGTCATACATTAAAAAGAATATCATTAACAACTTACTATCAACCAGGTGTGCAGAAACAGCTAGACCAGGTGGAGCTTGACTGGACAGCTGTAGCAGAGTTCGACTGGACAGCTGCTTATGTCGATGCTGCAGAAACACCGATAGCTAGGTCAGGACAGCTGTAGGTCATTTTTTAATTAAAGGTATATTGATTATGATTATGTGCTATGACTGTATTATCTTTTAACAGAAATGAATGAACACAAGAAACTTATGGTTATTAGGTTGGTCTGCGATATCCCGAAGAACCTGAGAAGGTGTTTAGGTTCCCAAATTGCAATCGTCTTGTATTTTGCTTATATACTATTGATCTGCTGTTTATTAGACTCTGGTCTGCCTCGCAAGCCATATATTAGACAGTGGACTGATGAGTGAAAGGTGGAACCTTTTGAAAGACATGGGTCCCATTACATCTGGCATAAAGCTAACAGCGCATTCCACCATAAGAACATCATACCAACAGTGAAACATGGTGGTGGTAGTGTGATGGTCTGAGGCTGCTTTGCTTCTGCAGGACCTGGACGACTTGTTATAAATGATGGAACCATGAATTCTGCTCTCTATCAGAAAATCCTGAAGGAGAATGTCCGACCGTCAGTTCGTGACCTACAGCTCAAGCTCAGTTAGGTTATGCAGCATGCCAATGATCCAAAGCACACAAGCAAGTCCATCTCTGCATGGCTCAATTAAGGTTTTGGAGTGTCCAAGTCAAACTCCTGACTTGAATCCCATTGATATGCTGTGGTGAGACCTTAAACAAGCAGTTCATGCTCGAAGCGATTTAAAAGACTCATCATAAGTTATTGCAAATGTTTGAATGCAGTTGTTAAAGCCAAGGGTGGCACAACCAGTAATATGGTTTAGGGAGCAATTACATTTTGAATAAATCTTTGAATAAATCTTTAATAAATGAAAGCATCATGTCAAACCTGCATTTTGTGTTTACTCATGTTGTCTTTATCTTATATTTAAAATTAGTTGGATGATGTTAAACATTTATATGTGACAAATGAGCAAAAATAGAAGAAATCAGGTGGGGGCAAATACTTTTTCACAGCACTGTACCTCCTATGGTGAATGGGGATAATTTTAAGAGAGTGAGTTTAGATTTCTCTTTCCTCTTCCTCATAATATTTAATATGCACATTCAGTTCCTAAAAAGCTGGGACAGTAAGAGGTGTGTCTGGTAGTTCCTGGCGAGTGCTACACATACCGCGTTCAGTGTGAAAGCAGCTTGACTCATTATACCATAAAACACTGATCAGACACAACATCATGACCACCTCCTTGTTTCTACACTCATTGTCCATTTTATCAGCTCCACTTACTATATAGGTGCACTTTGTAGTTCTACAGTTACAGACTGTAGTCCATCTGTTTCTCTGATACTTTGTTAGCCCCCTTTTACCCTGTTCTTCAGTGGTCAGGACCCCCATGGACCCTCACAGAGCAGGTACTGTTTGGGTGATGGGTCATTCTCAGCACTGCAGTAACACTGACGTGGGGGTGGAGTGTTAGTGTGTGTTGTGCTTGTATGAGTGGATCAGATACAGCAGTGCTGCTGGAGTTTTTAAAGGGCGCTGCCCACAGGACGCTATTGGCTGGATGTTTTTGGTTGGTGGACTATTCTCAGGGCAGCAGGAACACTGAGGTGTTTAAAAACTCCAGCAGCACTGCTCCACCACACACATACAACATAGCTGTAGGGCCTGCAGAACTCCTGTGTTGATCTAGAACCAGAATGGACTAATGCCCAGAGGCCTCACTTATAAATGGTGTGTACGCACAAAAAAACGGGTCTGGAATGTGCATTTCTCACAGAGAAACCAGGAGTTATAAAGAAATAATTGGCGGGAAAATGAGAGTTCATTTACGGAAGCTTTGACTCATGTCGAGCAGCTAAATGCAGCTAAAAATGCAGCTAAATGCGCAAACCATCCTGACACATATCAGTTCATCCTGCATTAAACTCCATAACAGGCCACCGAGTCATGAGGCATTGTTTTGTTTGATGAGTTGATTGATTCATTTGGGTACACAAGTCAATTAGCCTTTTTCTATGTATTGACATCTATTGCTTCAAACAACTTCTTGATCCCCCCCTCCTAAAGACATAGGACAATGTTATGGGCTGGTAACAGTTGCAGATAAATACCTAAATATAGCCTAAAGAGCTATAAAGTCATTTTTTTCCTTCTTTCCTTCTGCCATTGTCACCACATTCCCACTCAATAATGAATGGGACCACCCATATTTAAGCATTCATGGGGTAATTTGCAGGGACAATTAATGGATAATTGTGGTCAGTAACGAGGCAGAACATGAGGCTCATTCTCCTCGCATATTTATAAGAAGATTGTGATTTATGAAGAGGAAACATCATTCAAGTGTGCATACTTAGGCCTCTACTGCACACATCATGAAAGCAAGTAAAAATATGTTCAGTTCACTTTTGTTGCATGAAATGATTCTTGATTTATTTTTTCGGGCCTGATTATTAAATTCAAAAACATAAGAAAATAAAAAGATGTGTGCAGGTGTCCTTTTGGAGTATGTTGCCTTGAGGCAACACTGCGACAATAAGAAGAAATGATATAGAGCCGAGTTCTCTGAAGTGGTGAGACCTGGCTTGTGACTGGCTAAGTCCATTCCACTGTGACACAATGTTGCTTGTAGGCAACAAACATATTTCTGCAAATTCTCATAATAAATAAAAACTTTAAAAAAGAGGTTTAAATGTGTCCACTAAGAGAAAGTATGAGCAAGCACGGTTTTTATTGACTTACTCAAACTCTTCCCTTTATTGTTACCCTATCGTTCTCTTTAAATATGTAGAACGTTATTGTAAAGAGAGGAAAATGGGTTTGTTGCCCTGAGGCAACATCATGCAATAGAGGATTAAGGTTTGATAAATCTGATTTTTTTGGGGCACACACCATTTCCTGGTTTTTGTCTTTTAATCCAGGCAGAGTTTTAGGCCCCTAGCCTCATATCCATGGGTTTTTAAGGGCAAGTACACAGGGGACCCCCCTTGAGCAATTATGACAAAAGCTGTCTTGGTACACAGCTGGAGCTTTACTGGCTATACAGTGAAAAATGAATTAATTCCAACTGGACCTGACTCATCACCAAGACTGTTTATAGTGCAACGCACCCCTAACTATAAAAAAACATTTAATAATATATAACAAAAAACAAATGCTAATAAAGGAGATGTATACACTCTAAATCCTATAGGAATGGTGGCGTTGCTGAGTGTA